ACCAAACTCACTTTTTTTTTGGATATAATATTTTCACGTGACGGAATCTAAAATGATTATTTAATTTAATAAATATGTAATTCAATAGGTGTAGCAACATGGATTGACTGCACCAAAACAAAACATCAAAACATTTGGTATTAGGTTAAGTCAACATCATGTCAAATTTATGAAGTTACTTTCGTAGGCATGGCAAGATTGCGCCATGAAAAGAACATGCGCAGAATATAGAAGGCTGTCCACATTTGTCGAACCTTTTTATATTCCACCAAAAAAGTTAAGATACAAAATGGGAACCAAAAAAAACTTAATGATAACGACGTGGAATAAAACAGAATTTAAGTTTAACTATATAAAAAAAAATGACCTTCTGTTCTTTGCAAGTAAATCAAGGAAATTTTATATTTAAATTATTTCGGAACTCAAAATAAATCTCTAAAGAAATACTAAATACAATGATAAATTTGATTATATGATAAAGAGATAATACGTATAAAATGATTTACTTACATGGAACTGCAGCACGCCAAGAAAATCTTCCTTTTATGTGGAACTCTTATAAATGAATATTGATTTTAAAATTAATTATTACTATTATTATTAATGAATTATATTCTTTCCCAAATTATTTTTCTGTTCCAATTCCGTCACTTTGGAGGTGAACAATTTCACCGGTTGGCGTGGCTGCGTTGACGAGTTCAGACCAAAACTAACCGCTTCGCTTCCGCACAAAATCGATCTTCCTTTCAAAACGATAACAGCGCGTGTGGGGGAAAATGTCGATTCAAAATCGATCGTAGGCGGGTAATAAAAATTTCCTGAGGGGTTTAAATTGGACTAGTCAGTAGCGTAAACGCTACAATTATATTCTCCTCACTCGTCCTAAACACTCAAAACACTCATTATATTCCTCTCACTTATTATTCTTCTCAAAAATTAGTCTGCGGCCAGGCCTGTCAAATAAATTTTCAAGAAATCGATTGAATATCGACCTTGAAAGACACTCAAAAAGGTCGATATATTATTGTTATTAGTTTTTAGCAAATCGGGCGAGGCAAGGCAGTGACCCACAGAATTTAATCTGATTAAAAATCTTTTTTGATTTATAGAGTAGATTTGCCGTAAAATTGGTTTAAATTTGATTTCCAATAAATAAAACGATACGCAAAGCGAACGAAAAAATCGTAAAATAAGAACGAGATTACTTGGTTCAATAAAATTAAACACGTGAAATTACCGATAAATGTAACAATGCCAATGCTGATTATATCACCTAGAGTGAAATAGTTAGAAATATCTCTGTGTTGATCAAAATTAAGAAAAAATATTTAAAATTCGGTTGATTGATAGATGAAGTTATGGAAATTTGGATCAAAAATAACTTGGGTATTGTCAAGAATATGTAACTTTGCATAGTCATAAAATAAATAATAGACATCACAACTGACATCGCGGTATCTCTGAAGTAGGACTTGTAAGGTGAAAATTGCTTCATGTGTACCCATGGAATTGCGGAATCCAAATTGCATTTCACCGACATTTTCTTCGCATTTCTTGTAAATTCTGGCATGTATGATGTTTAAGAATAATCGTAAGTGCATGACTCATAAGGCTGATAGTTGGGAAATCTTCGCACGTTTTTGCAGATCGTTTTTTTTTTGGTAGTGTTACAAATGTTGACAATAGCCATTCCTCTGGGATATGACCTGAATCGTATATGGCGTTAAACAGTTCAGTTAACTCCTTTGTGCTCACTTCACTCATTAGCTTAATAAGTTCACCAGGTATTTCATTCGGACCTGTGGCCTTACCATTCTTAGACTGTTTTAAAGCTGCTTTCACCTCGCTGTCTAGTATTGACGGCCATGTCATGCAATTTATTTCTGAAAGGTGACCTCGGTAGTCCCAGAAAAGTTTCTGCATTTTACTGTTCCGTCGTCCAGGTTCCCGTCTTTGTTTATGAGGAGGTGTGTGTTTCTCCTCTTGTATTGACCAGTGGCTTCTCGAATCTTTCGGAGGATATTTATATGATCGTGTTTCACTTGGAGCTCTTCGATTAGTTTACATCTTTCTTGCATCCATATCTCTTTCTTCTTCTTCTTCTCGTAGCACTACAACCGGGTGTGTCTTGGCTGACTGCACAACTTGCTTCCATTTTGAACGGTCGTCCAAAATAGTTGAGTCAGTTGGTAGCCCCATTATTCTTAGATCTGACCATATATTGTCTCTTAATCGCATTCGTGGATGTCCTAAGGGCCTTCTTCCTGTGGGAGCTTCCTCCCATATTAACTTGGCAAGGCGGTTATTAGGGAGTCTATGGACATGGCCAGCCCATCTTACACGTTGGGATTTAATCTCTTGGACTATGTCGCTCGCTCTATACATCTGCTTGACCTCAGCATTTGTTCTCATTCGGTATTGGTTGCTATTAATGTCGTGATAAGGCCCAAAGATTCTTCTGAGGATTTTCCTCTCAAAACATCTAAGTTTTCTTTCAGTTTCTTTGGTCAGGGTCCACGTCTCACACCCATACATGAGCACCGGTCTAATCACCGTTTTATATATTCTAATCTTTGATGTTCGTGTTAGGCTTTTAGATTTAATAGCATTGTGGAGGCTATGTACATACATCTATTTGCTGCCTGAATTCTTCCTTTAATCTCTTCCGCGATATCGTTATCTGCAGTGATTGTTGCTCCGAGATATTTAAAACTCTCCACTCTTTCAAAGCTATATGGGTCTATTGTAACATTTTGCCCTATTCTATCTCGTCCCTTTTGTCTGTTGATGCACATGTATTTGGTTTTTTCTTCGTTTACCCTTAAACCAGTTTTCTTTGCCTCTACCTCCAATTTATTAAAAGTCTCCTTCACATTGGTGACTGTGTTTCCCACAATGTCAATGTCATCTGCGTATGCTAGTAGTAATTTTGGTCCATTTACTATCAGTAATTCTGTTTTAAGTTGTGCTGCTCTTACTACTTTCTCCAGGATGATATTAAAAAGGAGAGGTGACAGCGCATCTCCTTGTTTCAGGCCACTGCTTATTTCGAAAGATTCTGAGAGTTTGTTACCTATCCGTACTCTGGATCTACAGCTATTCACACATAACTTAACAAGCTGGATAAGTTTTTTTGGAACTGAAAGTTCTGCCATTGCATTCCACATCTGATCCCTTTTAATGCTGTCGTACGCTTGCCGGAAATCTATGAAGAGATTATGGATAGTTCTATTGAATTCCCATCCTTTTTCAAGCAGCTGTCGTAGAGTAAAGATCTGATCTATGGTCGATCTATGTTTTCTGAAGCCGGCTTGGTATTCCCCATCAAATTTTCTACAAACGGTGTCAGCCTACTTAATAGGATGTTCGATAAGATTTTATATGCCGTATTAAGTAGGGAGATGCCTCTATAATTAGAGCACTTGGTTTTGTCTCCTTTTTTATGGATGGGGATTATTACACTTGCATGCCATTTTGTTGGTATTTTCTCTTCATTCCATATAAGTGTTATTAGTTGTGTATTTGTCTATGTAGAGTTCTCCTCCGTACTTAAGGAATTCAGCCAGTATATTGTCAGAGCCTGGAGCTTTTCCGTTCTTCAATTGGTTAATTGCTTGCAATGTTTCATCTATTTTGGGTCCTCTACCGGTAGGTCCACCCCAAAATATATATTTTCTCCATGTTCTTCCTCTTGATGTATGTTTAGTAAAGTCTTGAAATATTCTTGCCATGTTTGGAGCAGTTTTTTTTTCATTTATTATTAATTCATCATTTTTTCTGAGTACAGACACGCATCTAGGTCTGAAGCCTTTCTTTTCGTTTGACACTGATTTGTAAAATGCTCGACTATTTGACTGTTGCCTATTCCTTTCCATTTCTTTATATTTCTGTTGTTCGTACTTCCTTTTTTTCTCTCTAATTAATTTTCTTGTTTCTCGGCGTAAAGTTGCATAGTTTTCTTTACTTTTTGCTGTTCCTTGTTGAATGCCCATGTCTCTTTGGCTCTTCGTATTTCTTTTTTAATTGTTTGGTTGATTTCTTTGCCTCCCTGTTTTTATTAACCTCCTTTGGTCCATCATCTGCAGAATGTCATCAGTCATTTATTCTTTATTTTTTACCCTTGTTTTCTTTCCCAGATGTTCTTTTCCCACATTTAGCATGACGTCTTTGATATAACTCCATTTTTGTTCTACACTCTGTTCTTGTTGTATAGTGGTTTCTAGTTTTTCTCTCATTATATAAAATATCAAAATATTTTAATATCTCATAGAGGAACTGAATATGTGTCAGATCTATTCAAAACCAAACAGTGAAAAATAAGAAAAACAATACGGGGAAAATGTCATATATAAATACATTAAGGAAATACATAAATAATATTAAAGAATAAACATAACTGCAACCGAAGCATCAGGACAAGTAAGTAGCGAATAAAAGACAAATAATTTGCAAAAATGTTTAACAAAAGTTTATCATAGGTATTACGATTAAAACACAAAGAAGTACATAATAGATTTTTCAGTCGCGGTAAGTGCACGAGTGTCCATCGAGTTGCAAAATAGTTTAAACTTCTAGATCAAGCCAATCACACTAACTATTGCTTAAGGATAAATTCAACATTGTCTGTGCTGACAATGGAGCTGACATTTAAATACCTAAAAGATATGGATGATTACAGTTGTTCTAGCAGTGAATTAGTGTTGCTGAATTATCGAAAGATGCATTGCCAATAAGTCGAAATTGTTAAAAATGTTTTATATTTTAAAGAGAACAAATTTCTGTCAAACTATTATTTATTAACAGTATAATTATTACTAAGCGATATTTTTGGACGAGAAAGTACCCCTTTAATAAATGAATTTTGCATAAAACGTTCCTTAGTTGTTGTGAAAAACAACATAAATTTATTTTAAAGACATTTAAGTTGCGCTATAAATAAGTACATTTTATTGGTATGACATTTTTATTTCTATTCGTAACATTATATTTTTTTATTACAGAAATGACTTCAAATGGAATCCGAAACGACGCCTACAGTGACGACAATCTCTCAGATGACGAAAGCTCTCCATTGACAGAAAATATTTACAGCGGAAGGTAAGGACAAAATTATAACAAAATGGCATAGTCTTTAAGTAAAAGTTGGCCAAACCATGAAAGAATTGTTCTTTGTCTTGAGCTATTTTTAAACTTTGTGAAGAATAAACTGTAAAGTGAAGAATATTGCTTTCGTAAAATCGACCTTATAGGTCGAAGTTTTGTAATATTCCAATTTTAATGTCTATTAATTCCAATGTGTAAATCCTTTGAGCTTTGTTAAAAGATCGTCAGTCTAATAAATCTATTGACCACAATAGATATAATAAGATTCCCCTTGGGGACAGTCTTATACTGCTCTTAAAGTGACAGATTGATCTCCTAGGTAGGTAATTATAGTCCTCTTACTAGCCATTTGATAATGGAAAATGGTATACTTTGTTTCTTGCGGAAGCGTTAATATTCTTCAATGAGGTATTATAACATACTCCCTCTATGTGTATAAACGAAGTTAATGCCACTTCATTTAAAGATATGTCCTTTTTGCAATCTTTGAGAGGACAATCAAAAGCATCTATAGTGGATTATCCTGATTTCTAGTATTCACTTATTATGTTTGTTATACTATAAGTAGTTCATGTATTGACGGATCTTGAAACTGTGTTATTTTTCTCTTGATTAGATACATCGCTATCACTATCACTATCACTATTTATCATGATTGTATCAAGATAAAATTAACAATTATACATTTAAGAGGGCACGTATCTGCAGCATCTAACAAGAAACACGCCTGGGACTGCGTTTACTACTCCACATAGTGTGTGAGCTATATACATAGCACCATATTAAAGTGCTGTATATATACCTATAGGTATACAATGTATGGTTTACGCGATCTGTCGTTACTGTCGTTTGGATCGTTTCGGTCGCCTGAGTCGTTTTTCTTTTGCTTCCAACTAGTGCTGATTTTTTAATCTTCTTCTTCTTCGCGTGCCATATCAGAATTATCAGACGTTGGCGATCACCATTGCGAAGGCTTCTCGATCTTCTGCAATATGGAATAATTGTCCTGCATTTGGTATCTGAGTCCATTCACGAATGTTTTTTAACCAAGAAACTTGTTTTCTTCCTACACCTCTACGGCCCTCTATTTTGCCTTTAAGGATCAGTTGTAAAATTTTATATCGACTTCCCCTTACTATATGTCCCAGATAAGACATTTTTTCGATGTTTAATAGTCTTTAGCAGTTCTCTGTCGTTGTTGACGCTCCTTAGTACTTCTTCATTAGTTTTTCCTGCTGTCCAAAGTATTTTCAGCATTCGTCTATGAACCCACATTTCCAATGCTTCAATTTTGTTCATGATCGATACTTTTAGCGTCCACACTTCTGCACTATACAAAAGTACAGACCAAACATAGCACTTAACCATTCTTTGTCTTGATTCTAAACTGAGATGGTTATTGCAAAGAAATGACTTCATTTTCATAAAAGTAGTTTTAGTCATTGCTATTCTACGTTTTATTTCTATGTCTGGATCTAGTTGATCCGTTATCACAGTTCCCAAATATGTCATTTTGTGAACTTTCTCAACTTGGACTCCGTTCAATTGAAGCTTTACATCAAGATGTGGGTCACGACTAAACACTAAAAATTTGGTTTTGTTTGAGTTTATTTTAATGCTCATTTCCTCTCCTACCTCGTGAATACGAATACGATCAAGCAGAATTTGAAGACTTTTAATATTATCTGATAGAATTACTGTATCGTTTGCATATCTAATCGAATTAAGTAGTTCCTCGTTGATTTTTATTCCATGGTATTTTAAATGAATATATCCATTGTTCCATATGGTTGTCTCTCAAGTGCCTTCTTAAATAAGTGGTCCGAGTAAACATTGAACAATGTTGGCGACAAAATGCAACCTTGTCTGACTCCTCGTTGTATGGGGATTTCATAGGTGTAGTTATCTCCAATTTTTACGATAGCAGTTTGATTCCAGCACAAATTTTTAATGACATGAATATCCTTGTCATCTAGTTCCGATATTTTTCAGTATATACTTTAATTTTACATGCTGTACTTTATCGAATGCCTTTTCTAAGTTCACGAAATATGCAAATACATCTTTTCTTTGATCACGGCATTTTTGTAATAGTATGTTACGCGCAAAAAGTGCCTCCCTGGTTCCCATAACATTTCTAAAACCAAATTGGGTATCTTCAAGATCTTCGCATTTGCGTCTAATTCTGTTGTGAAGTATTCTGAGGAAAATTTTAAGAGTGTGGCTCATTAGGCTAATTAATCGATATTCTGAGCATTTTCTCGCATTGTGTTTTTTAGGTATTGCGATAAAGATGAATTTGAGCCGATCTGTGGGAATCACTACGGTGTTATATATTGAATTAAAAAGTCTTACTACTACTTTTATGTTATCATTCTCTATTAGTTTCAGCAACTCAGTTGCTGTATCATCTGGACCACAAGCTTTTCTAATTTTAGCATGTATTTATAGTATGTTGTACTTTTTAATATAAAACTATATTCACTCGAAGTGTTTACTTTTATTAGGTCTATAAATATTCCAAACATTTTTATGCCAAATGATTTATTTGAATGCGAGCAATATCCTTAACTTTCGAATTTATTTATATTTTCATATATACAGTATTTAATTAATTAATTAAAAAATATTCGATAATTTATTATATACAAAAAAACTTTTACTTTTAATTAAAAAACTAAAGTGCAAAGGCAAGACATTAAAATCATAAGAATGGAATTTCTGAAAAGGTCAAGAATTACCACGTACATTATATATGTATAAAAATTAAGTATTGACACCGCATAGGCTAAAATTTATACACAACTCAATTTCGATTTTGCATAAACAGCAACAACCTAAAGAACTATAAAGATTCTGTCACAACAGAATCGTGTATGAATTTTAAAATTACGGTTCAATGAAATTGAGTTTAAAATGTATTCTATTCAAAGAATTACTGAAACTTTTAATATAGCAAATCAATCTTTCTTTTGCTGGTTAAAATATCTTAAGTTACATTATCAATATTTTTATCGTTTTATTGAGATTGTTCCATACGTTAAAAACACGATTACACAAAAAATAGCTGTCTTATTATTAAAAAGATTATTTCTTCAATTTTGAAGTATGTCCACATGATCTTCTCTCATCGTTTAAAGTAAACAAGTGTTACAAACTTATATATCCATATTTTAAAACACAGAACGTGATAATCAAGTCATCACGAAGTCTGAGGATGGTATAAATATCTTCCCAATTGTCAGACCACAAGCTATTCCATTCAGAAGGAGATTTAACTTCAAAAAGGCAAACTGGCAAAAGTATGCAGACATGCTAGAAAAATTCGAAGAGGTACTCAAAAATGTGTCTAGAAAAACTATCCCTAGAGGATGTAGACAACAATATGTTCCCGGGATGTCCAGCGAGTCCAAAGAACTAATGAGAACATACGAAACCCTCTATTCCACTGACCCTTTTAGCCAAGAAACGGTTGACTGCGGAGCAGTACTACTCCAACAGCTAAGTCAAGCCAGACAGGAAAAGTGGATTGAGAACCTGGAAAAAATGGACATGACACATAGTAGCAAAATAGCATGGAACCTTGTAAAAAAACTCAGCGGTGATCCAAAAGAACATAAACTACCTTGCAAGGTTACAGCAAACCAAGTCGCTACTCAACTCCTTACGAATGGAAGAACTTCTAACCGATATAAGGACCCAAACACTAGGAGAAGATTGGATTCGGAGACAAATCACCTAGGAACTCCTTTTACACTAAAAGAACACGACGGTCTGAACAGGTTAAAAAACGGGAAAGCTGCAGGTGTGGATGATATATGCAGTGAACAAATAAAGCATTTAGGCCAAGGAGCAAAAAAACTGGATCTTGCAATTTTATAACACGTGCTGCAAACCTGCAAAATTCCAAAATCACGGAGAAAATCTAAAGTAATAGCCTTGTTAAAACCAGCAAAGGATCCAGAAGACCCCAGTAGCTACAGACCTATTTCGCTATTGTGTCACTTTTTTAAAGTATACGAGAGACTCATACTCGCCAGAATAGAAAAAAATGTAGACAAGCACCTCATCCCACAACAAGGAGGATTCAGACCTGGCAAATCTTGCACCGGTCAAATCCTCGCATTAACAGAACACATTGAAAAGGGGTTTGAAGAAAAACTTATAACAGGGGCTGCTTTTGTAGATCTGACAGCAGCCTATGACACGGTAAGGCACAAAACATTGCTCCGTAAATTATACGACACTCTTACGACATAAGTAAGTAGGTGGAGAGTTCAAAAAAACGGCCTCCCACAGGGAAGTGTTTTAGCACCAATGCTCTTCAATATATACACAAACGACTAACCTACTCCGACCGAAACCAAGCACTTTCTTTATGCTGACGATCTTGCAATATGTGCTCAAGGAGGATAAGCTCGAAACTGCCTTAAAAACAATGACAGCGTACTACCTGCAGAATTCTCTGAGACCCAATCCCTCTAAAACCCAAGTTTGCGCTTTCCACCTTCGCACAAAGGAAGCCAAGCGAAAACTCCAAATTGTGTGGAATGGTAATGCATTAGAACACACAAATCAACCTATATATCTTAGAGTAACTCTGGACCGGTCCCTCACCTACAGACAACATTGCATAAAAACAAGAGGGAAAGTAACAACTAGGAACAGCATACTCAGAAAGCTAACGGGAAGTAAATGGGGCGCACGTCCTGGCGTTTTAAGAACAACGGCACAGGCACTGTGTTTCTCAACTGCTGAATATGAGTGCCCCGTTTGGAGCAGATCTGCCCACACCAAACAAGTTGATACTGCGCTAAATGAGACATGCAGGATAGTAACGGGGTGCATGAAACCAAGTTAAACAGATCGCGGACGATCGGCATGCCCTATACAAAGCTCGAACACCACGAAAGCGACTAAAATCTAGGAAAAGCTTCCTTGGAACAGTGCAGGATGAACCGCCTAAGTATTTTCCACTTCCCCAGGTTCAATGG